CATATTTCAGTGAATACACTCGTGCATACTCGTATGTATGTGCGTAAGTCGAAATGTCCCTCAATTAATAAATATTCCCCTTTCGTATTTTGCAATTAATATGCCTTATCAAGAGTAGCTGTAACTAAGCGCCTGGAGCGGCACACATTCTTTGGTATTGTATTTGTTATTATGATGTTGTTGCTGCGGGAGTCGCCATTGTCATATAATCGCCGATCAAAATGCGGTTATCGGGCACAACACTCATTACACCAGCTTGATGACCAAACGGTACCAAAAAGCGGGTAAGGTTCCACCGGCGTGAGAGATTTAGATGTGCGAACACGTGCAGGGGTGCCAGGTTGCAGAAGCGAAGTGTTACCCAAATCATAATAATGAAATGAAAAGAAACAATAAAGAAAATTTTAATTAAAATCAAAAGTAAGAAAATAAAGTTGCAATTTTGAATATGAAGACTACAGGAAAGAAAAGACATAGAATAAATAAATAAATAATAAAAGTTAAGGTTTAAATAAAATAATAAATATGAACAAAAAAATCTAATGACTCAAAAGTGGTCGCGAGCTATTTATATTTAATTTATAAGGTGATTTTATATCTAAAAAATACGCTAGAAAACATTCTGATGTTGTGGTCAATCACATTCAATACAGTTCTGTTCTTGACCAAATGCGAATTGACTGTTCTTGCTTTCCTTCACTGGACCTAGTTTGAAGACTTCTATCGTTGGAGGGCTGTCAAAATTGGTGCATTTAGATCAAAGCAGCAATCGTGGATACGATATTTTAAGTCAAAACACGGGTAAAAGCTACATTTGGTCTCTTTTCATTCGTTCCCGTATATTTGTAGTTAGTATTGATAATTCTTACACCAAAGAAAGTTATCTCAATTCCTTGAAGTGTTTTCATCTGTTCGGACGACATGACCTCGCCGGCGCAGCCGCTGTCTGTTCAATCGCTGTATTTTATCAATATCATCGTACTACTCGCCAGCTGATCATTGCATTGTCTGCGGTATTCGCTGTTGTTATTGCGTGAAGCGACCGTAAGTTCTTTACAAAACTTTTCTCTCAAAGACTCCTAAGGCCGACTCCACGGAGGCCGACATCGTCCATACTTCCGACCCATGGAAGTGATGAGAGATTTGAAGAGTATGGATTTTGTTCTTCGAGAGAGGATTTTAATTTTCAAATTCTGCAATGGATTTCAAGGCTATGAGCTCGAAGTTCTGATTGTTAATAGAGACACGGGAGACGAGTGACGGATGGGAAGACTGTATTTTTGATGACAGGAGATAATGTATTCTTCATTCACCCTCAGACCCTTATCTTTCGCTTCCTTATCAAGTCCGGAGAAAACAAAACTCACGGCGCGGTTGTTGAGGCCAATAATGTCAATATCAAAGGCAAACGCCAGCATCTGTACACTCTTATAGAAGATTGTACCTTCTCTATTCAGCTCTGCAGCTCTTAGTATTTTCTTCAACAATAAATTCAAGAAGTCACACGAAGTCTGAAACCTCGTTTGGTATTAAACGACTCGGGGTGGTTCTTTCCGATCCTGACAAAGCTTTTGGTGTTGGTTAACTAACGTCAGTTTGTATAGCAGTATAATCTTTGCACCGAGACTTAATTCAGTCTTTGCGGCTTAAAGATTTTTTTCACGGGTCTTTTCGAAGATTTGTAAGCATGGTGGTCTTTGGTATTTCACATAGAACACCCGATATTAAGGTGGCTTATCAAATGAGAATTGGCACCTTTTTTGTAAATTTTCCAGGGTACACTTAAGTTCCAATCGTCGGGTAGGCTTTTATATGACCATATTTTACAAAGAAGCTGATGTATACACCTAATCAGTTCTTCACTGACGTATTAGAATAGCTCGGCTGGTAATAAATTGGAACTTGTCGCTTTGTTGTTTTTCAAGCGGGCGATTGTTATTCAAACTTTGCATAGTCGGACAGTGAAACATTTGTTCCATCGTTATCGGTTGGCGAATCGGGTTATCCATGTCCTGGTTTTACACATTTACTCTTCATACTCTGGGCTTCCGTAAATACACACAAATTTTGGAGATGTAGGCCAGCTTCTCAATCTCTTCATACCCTTGCTTCTTGACCGAATTTTTCGATATTTGCGTCCCAGAAACTTTCTATTCTCAACCTGGTCTCATTCCCAGCACTAATGGGCTCTATTTGATCGCTGTGGTATTTTTCACAAGGATCCGTCTTCTTCCGATGTAGTATATTTTACAAGTCTTGTGTATAATTGCACCACCGGCTGCAGTTCGTACTGCCGTGTTTGCCCCAAAGACCGAGCGAGATGTACCTCCTCAATCGATATACAAAGCAAATATTCACTGAAAACATTATGATTTCTTTGTGGTCTACTTGCACCCGCTTCCTAGAAACCGAACTATTGATGCGAGGATCTACTACCGCCGATCTTCCAACGTAGAAACCAAGAATTAAAGCTCTGCTCTTGCTAATCACAACCCCTCTACAGCAACACAGAGAGATTTCAAAACACTTAGGAAAAAATTGTTAAAAATATGTTTACCCGGTAGTTTTAGTTCACCGTATGTAATTCGTTCTTAAGTCAGCTGTGTAGACCAAGTGATTTCTTTGGTAATATCGCCAAGGTAACGCGAGGATTTCTAATCCTTTTCCCAATTTTGTATGCCAGTATTCATCTCAGAAGTGTAAATATTTTACTATTATGCAATACATAGTTTCTTGTGATTTTGTCTGAAGGATCTCTGATGTATGTACGCATGTAGTGAGAAATGGTGTCCTGTTCATTGCTATCTCCTATCGAGAAAATGTGTTTTTAGGTAGTTTCGTCATATATCGTGTCTCACAAACGTAATTACGATAAATTGAAATTCAGTGCGGAATTTATCAATTAGATATTTTTTGCGAAAATAAATTTGTGTGAGGTTCTCCTATTAGATTGAGTGCTGCAATGCGTTACAGGACTACACTGCGTAAATGTACGTGATACAGTCATATACTCCAATCAAACAGTTAATGAAGTCGACTCACTATAATTTATGTGCTTCAAGCCTGAAATTCGTTAAATAAGAAAAAAGTGTGCTTGGTATCCAAATGATTTGGGGAGAGACTACAAATCGTGTTAAATCCAAGTTTGGTTACGAACTATCAATATATACATATATTTGTATGTAAATATATGATGAGTTCTAAAACGTCGGTTGCAAAGAAGCGATACATTGGTACGCACTACTAAATGTAACTGTGCAAACTGGTCCGATGTATCATGTTCCAAAAAGCGTCGGTAAAGTTATTGATGCACAAACTAAAGCAAATTGCGCATCGCTAATCCTTTTTATTTTATCATAAATTCTTAACAACAACGGCCGACATCGGAAGTCAAGCTTTTTGCGATAATTATTATTTCTTAAATATTTGTTACTTATTTTATTGATATTATTGGCACGAAAAGCGTTCAAAAATGTCAGAATTTGCAAAATGATGTTGCTAAGTGAGTTTATAGAATGCAGGGTTGCATTGTAATGACGCGTTTGCGCAACGGCATCATTACAAAGTATTTTGACGTTTTGGAGCTCACCCAAACCATACATTAGTTGGGCAACAATTTGATAGCACCTTAATGGATATTCTAAAAGGTTTTCCTTGGATTTAAAAACGGGTTGCTTGGGAGGTATACAATCCAAAGATACAGCTAACATTTACACTTGTACTTTTCCCCACCAAACAGGGGGTCTGTAAGAGTGGAGTTCGGTGGACGCCGATGTAGGGTTTCGTTACACATATTACATACGGGTCCCGCAGCTTCCGTATTTAGAATTTTTCCTAACAGAGCTCACAGTTAATTTTTGACTTTTATAAACCTTAAAAAATTTTCAGCTAACATATAAATTCAAAACCAATTAAGTTAGTGAATTGTTTGGGCAGCAGAGTATTGATTATCAAACTTTTACTACCATCCACAAATGAATTTAAAATTGGAGAAAAGTGCGGAAGAAGTCAAAAATGAAAGCATTTTTGGTGAAATAATCAAAGAAGTAAGTTATTTCAAAATGAAATCTAGAGCTCTATGTAGCAATAATGAAAAAGTTTTTGTGAGACAAATTCAACAAAATTGGTTAGTTTTTTACTTAAACTACTTTCCGATTAAAACTCTTCACCTCAATTCAACATATCTCAACCACTTTTATTATTACTGCTGCCATCATATAGGTTTTACTCACTGAATCCAAAAACATATTTTAGTTTCGGCATTGGTCGGTATGCATATTTATATTTGTATAATATAATGATAAATTCTAGAAAATACTTAAAACCGTTTGAAATTATATTTTGACATAATATCTTTAAGTTTAATACTTCTATTAAATATATATATATTTGTGAATGGAATTAATCTGCTTGTAATTTGAGTTAAGTGAAATATTTTGCTTGATCTTAACCATTAAACTAGAATCCCCTTAATTGTTAGTACAAATGTAAGTTTAAGTATTTATCATTTTATATCATATATATATATATATGTGTACATAAAGACACGCTAACGTTTGCCAGCTGCTGCTGCTCCTCTTATTTTAAGTTTTGGAAAAGATTACTTTAAAATTAAAATGAAGCAGAATAATAAATATGGAGTAAGAAAGGTGTACCGAAATGTGCATATGTATGTACGTGCATTTATGTATAAATAGTGATGCAATTTTTGGTTTTGCATTTGAGGAAACCGGAAGAGAGGTAAGGACAAATGAGAAGTAATAGTAAAGTTAGCATTTCATAACGAATTCGTCGGTTTGAATGTATTTGATTTTACATACATACATATGCATGTGTGTATGCACTAGAGCGGTGAACAATTTATGTACATTCATATTTTGGAATGTGTGTGCGGAAGCAATGTTTATTTAATAGATGAAAGTTCCTAAACTAAATGCTCCTGTGTGCACTTATGTAGCATGGCGCCGCCTGAGGTTTTCAATATTCGTTTTCGTACTCACCAGCAGGGTAAGGCAAGCCGAAGCTTGGATATCCCGAGTAACCACGTCCGGCTGCATAGGCTGCATAGGCGGCTGCCGGAAATCCTGTCAAAAATCAAGAATAAAACAAATTATGCAACATTGTTTGATTAGTACCAGCAATACACATACATATATATGCATTTACAAATATATTAACATATATTTCTTGACAAACTGTTAAAGTATAAAATGAAAATAACATTTAAGAGAAAAAAGATGTGGCGCAGAAAACAAGAGGCAATCAAAGTTTATGCAAGCAATTGAATTATCAGCAATATTTCCAAAGGCTTCTATTTCAAGATGTTTGTGGCTTTGTTCAGCACAAATTGCATCTTGCTGCGGTTATAATATATTGCTTATGCTTCCAAATGCAAACGTATGTGTAGAATAAAGTCGGTACGCCAGTTCAAGGCGAACAAAAGGAATTGAAAGCACAACAATCGTGGTCTGTATTTGTGTATGGAATATTTTGAGACGATTTCTTCCCGCTTAAGTTAGCAGGCTTATGTAATTTCTGCTAGCCTTGCTTGGATTTGAATAAATAACAACATGGGAAATTAACAATCCATTTTCTTGTATCAAAACACACACGTGCATTCTGTATGCATTTATGAACATATTTACTTTTTAAATATATGTACGTATATGTGGCAGTAGACCTATCAAACAATTTTCTTTTGGGTAGGTATTGTGTTACGTAAATCAGTAATTTGGACAAAACTTTATATCGAATCCATTAACTACTTAACCACATTTTGTTCTTAAAATACCTATTATGATGTCTACGGCCTAAGTGGTTCTTTTCGGACTCTACTGGAACCTTAAACTGTACCAGAGATCTGCAATGGGTATTGGCGATCGAGCTAAAATTAACCATAACATTTTCAATTCATGTCCTCGACAATTTACGTACACCCAGGTGAACAAGGTATCCAACTTTAAAAAGTTAGGTGCTGTTCATACATGAATGAAGTTTGAACACTCTGACTATTTTCGATGTGCAAAACCGTCAATGGTACTGATATTACGGATACTGTTGAAAACACTGCTGTTCTCTGCACTGGACTCAGCTTTGATTGAAGACTTTGTCATATACATTAAGCACAGTTTGTGAACGTTTATCAAGGTTATTCAAAAAGTTTGGAGGTATTCTTTCTGATATATTCTGCCGAAGTGCTAGTGAAGTGGTATAAAGTTCAAAGATCAGCACATACTTTGAAAACGCTGTTCTGAATACTTCCAAGGTGGAGCTGTATATATTCTCGTCAGTTCTCAACTGAGATAGTAGATGATGGCGCCCGAGGACATTCTAAGTATACTACAAGTATGAACCATATAATGGACATTTAATAAATAAAAACACCTTGGATTTGTATTGTGTTTGGTAGTGTTGTTTAGGCTGGGAATACCAATTGATTTTGCGAGAAAATTATAATATATTAAAAAAATGCTTATTAATCTATAAACCATATGTTTAGAGCAATCAGAAAGAAAACGTCTACTGGGCAACAGCGGCCAACTTAACTTTGTATGTACATTGACGGGTGTATAAGAATAAACAATATTCAAATGTGTATTTTATAAGTAAGACCAGCCTCAGCATATTAAGTATGAACTTTCAATATTTCAATGTAAGGAGGCAAAACCTCCGGACGTATTCATTAATTCTGTTCAAATTAAATTAAATTTTCATGCATTTTAACCAGCAATGGCTTATGCATGTACATACATAAATGCAAGAATTATCGAATGCAAAAGTTTGCTCCAATCACAGTATTGTGTTATAAATTTTTACAATCAACATAGCTTTTTGATGACGTCACACAACCGAGCTGTTTGTGATTAATTATATAATTATAAACGATTGGATTTACAAAAGTTCGCCGAGTTGGTAGTTGGTGCTTTTCAATTTGTTTTTGTGAAATATAACACTAACAAATCCTTTGCAATTATTTCATTGATTTTCCTTTTAAATTTCAGAACGATTGGCTAAAATGTAGATGAAAAACGCAAGATAGCTGAGGATAGGTGTCAGACAATATTCTACGACCAACGCAGACAGAATTTCGCCTTCGAGTTTCGGCGGAATTTACAGTCAATACATACACGTATATTCGGTTAATTTTTAGTAAAGTCGATATAGAAATCAAATAGCAGTCCCTGACATGGAGCCCAACAGGAGCAAGCCACCGGTAAAACCTAAGCAACAAAAATCAGCAGCAAAAGTTGTGATTCCACTGGAAAATGGTCAAACTTTTGAAAAATTTCTTGGAAAATAACAAGAAAGAGGATTTGCGGCGCTACTTTTTACATCATGACAGCGGGCACTGAAATAACGAGTAATTTTATTGCGATTTCATAGATCGAAAAAATACGTCCAGCACCATATTACCCGGATATAGCACCTTGTGATTTCTGGTTATTTTTAAAAAATAAATAGAAATTTAAAGGAAAGGTGATTACCACAAACGAGGAGATAACCAATGTGGTTAATGTTGAACTTGAATAGCTAAAAAAGCAAGATTTTTGAAGACGGTTTCCAGACGTGGATTTATGGGCTTAAGAAATACATTGAAATCACTGGCGATTATGTAGAGAAGATAAGAAAGGACAAAGATTTCGAATAAATACAATAATAATTTTTTTTCTGATCCACTAATCGAACTTTTGTTAATCCCCTCGTATTTATGTACAATTAGTGCTTTTAGTCAGCTTTGGCCCAGCTCCTTCTCCATTTTGAGATATGCGTATGGATGACTTCCAAAAAGTGGAGGGACCTGATTTATTTGTTATTCATTCCGAGCCGCTTGAAGCGGTTTTAAAGTAGTTATTTGAGAACCTTTTCATAACTGTATTTTGACATTTGTCAAACTTAATTGTAGAACTAAAAATGTTTTGCGGTAGTTAAAAGTTAAACATTTCGGAAATGGATCACTTAACAACCTCACAGTGCATTAAAATTGTTCAAACCTACAACAAAAAGGTGATTGAAACGGGGCCATGCTTCGTGCTTTCAGAAAAGATTGTGGTGCTCATACAACCACTCAAGCAATTGATAAAATTTTAAAGAAATTTGGACAGTCTGGATCGGTTACAGATATTTTAAGTTCTGCGCATCGTCGTTTTGCTGGTTTCATCTCAAATATTGATACTGTAAGTGAAAGTGTAGCCGAAGACCTGAATGTGTCTATTTCTCGATGTTCTCAACACTATGACGCATTTTGGACTTGGACCTACACCTATATCCATATAAAATCTATGCGTACATGCGTTAATTGGGTGATTGGGAGAACAAAGTTTTCTCACACTCTCTCGCGATCGGGGCTCCAAGAATCTTCAAATAATTGCACACTATACGCTATAAAAGCTTATCATTTGATGTGCTCTATGATCCGGAGGTGTGATTGGAACTTACTTCTTTAAATTGTAGAACATGGTTTCGACAAGACGGTGCAACGCGCCATACAACACGCACGAATTTTGCGAGAGTTTATCTTTCCTCTTGGCAAAATTGATAACCATGTATAGTGCATCCTAAATAAACTTCACTGTTTTCCTAATTTTCTTTCTCGAAATGGCAAAGATGTAAATAACTTAAAAAATTGCGATTTGATATGATTAAATGCGGAGATTCGCTTGAATAGAGCAATGATTTAAGTTCGTTTGGCCACTTACCATCGGGTAGTGTCCCCAGTCCCCACATGATGTTATCTATTTTGAAGGAAGGAAATAGAAGAGAACAAGAAAGAAAATATTAAATACTGTAATAGACATTGGCATATCATGTATATTAGAAAAACTCTACTAGTTTTCCACAATCGGCAATATTGATAAAATTATATATGTTGAAAAAGTTTATATGAGTTTACAAATTACATTGATTCTAAGAATATAAATCTAAAAAAAAGAATTGTCTTAATAAAAATTATCACTATTACTAAAACGAGTTTTTCGAGTTATTTAAAAAAACGCACTAATTTTTAATGAATTTTATTGAAAAAATGTTTGCAATATTTGCGGTGAAATTATCTCTTTTGCAGGTTTTTATCAATTTAAATTGCAGGTTTCATCATAACCAGTAAACTGTTTCGAAAAATACTAGCCAGCGAATTCTCCGGAAGGTAGTGCAAATTTTATTATTATTTCATTTTAAGAGAAGTTGGAATATATGAATTTGGAAAATTATCTAATTGTTGAACGCAATATAGTCGTATGTATTTGATGTTATTTTAAAATTCTGCTTTGTAAGTCGAGATTTTTTAAAGGGAGCAAACCGGACAGACATGACGATTTTGTATTTGTTTTATTCCGTATTTGTGATGGAGTACAGCACTTGCACTTGTATTGAATTCCTGGCTTGGTACGTAAAACTAGCTTAAGAACGAATCAAAACGAAATTTTTGCTTATATCTAAAGTGTTAGTGTTTAAGGTGTTAATTTGATTGACTTTAGCTAATTTTAAGTTTAGTTTTTTATTTCTATTTAAACATGTAAGTATATATAAGTACGGACAAGTACGAGTATCTAGTAACTATGGCGTACACAATGACTCTCATATAATTGATTACATCTAGATATGTATTTACAATAGTGCCACGGTAAGTATTGACCACATTGACGCTGTCTAATTGCTGATAAACAATATAGGCAAATATCATAATGAACTGATACAAATAAATCATTTTTGATCCTTCTTTATTATCATCAGATCAATGCAGGCAATCTTTCCGTTCGCACTACTGTTTTAGATTAAAATTACAACCTAAAGCTAAAGTTGTTAATTTTCTATATATAAATGTTTGCTATGTAATCGTTGATCCAAAATCTATTATATCAGCTACAGTTCCATTTTTCGAATTCGAATTCGCTAATCGTTCGTTGGCATCGCCGCTGTCGCCGCTACTTGGTTTGGAGGCTTGTGCCTAGTGCACGCGCTCCGATCGAAATGAAAATTTAAGAAACAGCATATAATTGAAAATTGAAGATGAATTGAAAATAAACCAATGACGCTATCTATATTTATACGAGTATATATATGTGTATATATATATATATATGTATGATTCTAAACACTGAAATACACATTGATTATGATACTCTTACGACGTTTCTATGAAATAATACACATTTCTTTCGTACAAGTAGATATTTTTGTAAATATTCATTAATGATCAGCGAGTTAGAGACGTGAATGTTTCGCTGTTTACTCTAATGCTGCTTTTACAATTCTATATCAGCTTGTTTACTAAAACTTTCACACACACATAGCGAAACACAAGTGTGGCTACTTGATGCTCAAAACGTGTTGCACATGCATTGGCAACTGAAAGAGTTGCTACACCCAAGTGCGATGTCACGTATACGCCCAGTAACCAGCACGTTGTTCGCTAACGTGGTTGCCGCTAAAGAGAGCAAACTACTAATTGAGATGTTTAAAAGAAAATCAAATGTATGAAAACATGGCAAAGAAAGTGTATTCGTTTTTCACTAAGCGAATAAAGAAAATATGTGCCATATACAGACATAAAATGATATATGCATGATATGTTTAGAAATGAAAAGACATTATAAAATAGCAACTACTATAATTTTAAAAAATTTAAAGCTGGGTTTAATAATAAAAAAAAACTAAAAACACAGGAAAGAAACTCTAAAATGAAAACCAAGCTAAGTTCTACACTACAAAGTAAATGTTAAACGATAATTCCGTGGTATCATTCCAGCCCCTGTTCATGGCAAGCACGTGTCCTTGCTGCTAGGTGGTCAGTCACTACGGGCTGGGTAGCGCAAGTGCAGCTGGGGTGTGAGCAGCCACTTAATGGACGACCTCAGTGCTACGTGTCCTAAGCACTGCCCACAAATGTTCTGTAGTGCAATTTTCATTGCTCCATCCGTTGCGCACTCATTGGTGCACTTTTTAAGTTAACGTTAGCCGACATGTTTTCGAAATTATATAATGCAATTACAATTTAATTTAGCAAATAAAGTTAAGTGGATAAATGTACATGGTATGCCATGTTCCAATTGTTTGCATTCGATGACCGATATAATTAACTCTCCATCCGGGCAGCAATCATTTCATACTATAACTAAACATACATATTTTATTGATAAACATATTCCTATAAATTATATATGGGACGCATTCAACAAAAATCGTCTTTTCTACTACGTTTTTTATAATGAGAGTGTTACGTAATTTGTTATTATTGCACAATGTTTAGACTTTTACAATTTTGTTTCTGCTACTTACACAATTCAGTAAATATTTAAAATGTTAAGATGCTAAGCAAAACTAATTGAGTATGATTCAAAATATCAAATAACTGAAGATATTCAAATTAGACTTATGTGCGTAAAACGCCTGTACCAAAGTACATACACGTATACACGTATGTTCAATTATTTTCAATTTTGAAAACACACTTAAATTTCATCATTTCCTGTCTACATATTTAGTTGTAAATTGGTTATATGTTTTTTTTTTTTAACTTTTAAAATTACTCTTTTGGTCTTATTGTTTGGCCTCCTATGTCAGGCCCTTAATTAAAAATTTTCGTAAATTTTACTTTGCGCTACATACATAAGTAAAGTTTCTTATTATCGACTGAGCTTGTATTTCTACAATTACATATACATATGTATAATATTCGCTACACAGTTTTCGTTAATTATTATGCAATTAAATTGGTAAAATTTTAATAAATTTCAATAAATTCAATAAAAATGGCTACTAAGCCAATATACATGAATATTACATATATAGGATAGTACATATTTATAAAATTCTATTTGCACACTTACGGTACGTATGCTTATTTAAACGTGTATACAAACTAGACCTAGCTGATTTTATGGAACAGTAGTAATAAATATTATTTAGTATGAATATTTGGAAATGTTTTCTTGTCTTATTTTCATTTCGATTATAAATTACTATTCCGTTTATCTCAAGCTTTTGCTTTTGCGCTTGATTTTAAGTTAATTTTGCATTTAATAAATCATATCGAATCGTTATTTGTTACGATGGCAGAAAAAAGTCTTCAAATTCGCGGCTTCTTATTACCGCCATAGCGAAGGGAGTTTGCCATGGAACTTCGATTAAAGGCATAGTGCAATAAGAAGATTTAATGGGAGGAGAAGTACGAAAGACTTGATATGGGAAACACTAATAAGCCGAAGACAGATATGGAAAGCAAAGTCTGTATTTTTCACACAGTTTTAGCAGAAATGAGAAATTGAAGATAGTCCAGGACATTTTTTTTTATTAAATTAAATTAGAAGTCTTTACACTCATATCTAGCATATTCCATGATTTCTAGCAAGAGAAATGTATTTATTTAGAATTAAAAAAAAAACTGTGGCATGCTTGCTATTGTTATACGTAAGTGGAGTAGTGCCATTACCGTAATTATTGAAGTAAAATTTTTTTAACATTTACATATGAATTTGGTCTACTCAAAGCAGAGCAAGCAAATAATAAATTATATATCGAATTTATTTGAAAAACCAAAAACGCAAAAGCCTGAGATGAAACTTGTTTATTCTTTCAACGCCTAATAATCATATTAAATGTTGGTAATTGAAACGTTTAACGCAAAAGTACACAGATGAGATCAAAAATTAATAAATTTTAGAATATAATAGTTCTAAGTTATCTCTGCTTAAATTTTCTTAAAATAGTATTCGTCAATTATTTGCTATATACATAACTAATTTGTAATTTTATATATATGTATGTATGTTTGATAAGAGATCAGTGCCTACGCTGCAAAACTGTATCCGATTAGATAGAGTTACCGAGATGAGTTCAGTTCCAAATTGGATGCAATTGGCCAAGTGTTGTCATACAATTGAAACATTATGTCGCTAATAACTCTTGTCAAAATCATTCGAAAGCATTAGAGAGTGAATGCCTCCCTTTAAAATTTATTCCAATTTAAAAAATGTTGTTGTAATGGCATTCTTCTCTTGACTGATCTCGGCTTCTCTCGGACTAAGCACATTTTTTACAGATTAATAATTGTCGTAATGCAGCACTAGAGCTGCAAATTGCTCTTCAGTTAATCCTAAGGAAGTTACAAATACATTTCCGCTAAATTCTAGCAATATGTGTTTATTTATTTAAAATTGCGTAATACTGAATAATGTACACGTATGTATGCATGTACGCATACCTTCCGTTACGGATAGTAAATGTGGTTTGTTTGTGTAGATGTCTAGATATATGTATGTACGTGTATATTTGTATGCTGTAAATGCAAGTGTAGATGAGTCAATTGCATAAAGCATTCAGTATGGTTATGATTTAGCATTAATTATTGCACAGCTATATGCAAGGACCTGAGACAGCGCGCACACATTCAAATCCGTACATGGATACCTCATCTGCCTGTATGATAATGTACACATAAATATGGTTTTACTTTTATTCATACACACATATGTGTATGTGTGTATATGACAGCCTGCAGGTTGTCAAGTTGACAGCTCGTTTCCATGTCATGCAATTTCGGTTAAAATATTGGAAATAAAGCCAAAAAACTATTTAATATTGTTAATTGCATTCAATTAATATAACGTGTAAAATGTCATTCACAGGGGAAATTGCCCAACCGAATGGAATGCTGCTCTCTACCAGTGCAACGTTGTCACATGCTCGTGCAATACCGGAGTTTGGCTGTACAAAAATTAATACTTTTCGGCGACATTGCTCGCTATTGATTTGTATGTAATGAAATGAGTTTGAGTGTATGTGCCGCCCACAGCTACTATTCAACCGGGGAAGTGTGACAAACATTCGCGTCCAGAAATGCTTTCAATCGAAGCTTGGGTGGGTTTTTTAGCCTTCGTAAAACTCTCTATTGTGGCCGTGGAAGCTGCGTTATGACGGCCGTTGGTGGTCAGATGCCGAGCGTGTTGGCGCCCGGCAGTTGATACAGTGTGGCTGTGGTTGGCATTTCCAGGCTCTGTACAGAGAGTAAATCGCTTAATGGATAGCCAAGGGTTGCGGCTGCTGCAGCAGCTGGTGTCGGACGAACTTGTGTCGCCGTTGGCTGTGCTAAGTGTCCCAATGCTGTGGGCGGACGTAAACTGCCGACAGCGGCAGCTGCCAGTAGTCGTTTGTATCCGACTATAGCGGCGGCATCATATAGTGAGGCTGCTTGTGGATTTGTTGCTGCTGCAGCTGCGGCATATTGTAAAAGGGAGGGGGCTGCCGTGGGTTGAACAGCGGCTGCGGTGGCTGAGAATGGTATGAGTGTATGTGTGGCGCCGGCGGTGGCTGCTGCGACCGCGTTAGCTAATGATTGTTGCTGCTGTGCAGCTGCTGCCGCCACTACAGCAGCTTGCTGTTGTTGTTGCTGCTGCTGTTGTTGTTGTTGTTGTTGCTGTTGTTGGTGTTGCTGCTGCTGATGGTGGTGATTGGCAGCAGCTGCGGCAGCGGCGGCCGCAGCAGCAGCCGAGAAGTGTGTCGGTATGGGGTAGGGAGTGTAACGTAACGAGGTGGATGCTGCAGGCGCACCAGCGCCAGCGCCCACACTTGATCCGCCGAACATGCCGGCATGCGGATGCGCCGGATGATGGTGATGATGGTGGTGGTGGTGAGCGCCTGAGCTGGTGGCAGCCGCAGCGCCGGCAATATTTTGGTGTGTCGCAGTGGCAAATGTACTACTGATTAGACCGCCACCGTTGGCATTACCGCCCCAAACTACCAACTCACCGTAAGCAGAGCGGCCGGCAGCACGCGTCTTAGCCAAATTAGCCGGCAGCATTACTTCCTTTGGTTGCGCCTTCTTGCATTCGACCTGAAGATAAAATGAAACCATGTTGTATATATCAGTGGCAAAACATAAAGTAGGAATGAGTGAAGGTATCACACGGAGAAAGGGGATGACTACGATTACTGTTTGAAACGTGAACAAGTATGAGCAGTTGCACTCACCATTTTGTTGTTGATCTCATGGAAATGAATTTCACAAACTTTATCTACCACATCCTCGCTCTGAAATGTTACGAAGCCGAAACCTGAAACAGAAACGGAAAGAGCACAAATTAATAAATTAAATTAGTAAACATCAAGGCTGTAAACTTTGGTCCCATGAAATGAAAAAGAAGTTGCGACGAAGGGGTTACCGACAAGCTGGCTATCAAGTATTCACCTCGTACTTTAGCTCATATTTGTTCGTGCATTCCCTTACTTTGGTCGCATGGTCATTAGGAATTTATTTTCAACCAAAGGCGGCCGGTGGGATCTTTTGTGGTCCGCTGTTTGTGAAAAGTTGCTGAGCTGTAACTAATGTTCTCCATAGAGGAAAATTCTAGACAAGTCGAAAGTTTTGCACTACTTTGAAACTCCGTTTGGGCCTTACTCACCACATCGACCGATAGCAAACCGCAATCGCAGCAGCTCATGCAACAACTGATACATTTATGAATTCGTCATGGCTGTAATTGTAAATTCACTGATTCTACCGGTCATAAACATTAAGCCGGAAACTTCTGTCGGAAGTGGCAAGCACTGCGTCGATGTGCATGTATGCGTGTCCTCACTCGGTCCTCTTTACATATTTATTATATGTAAGATATTTGCGAAGAAATGCAATGATGTTGTCAGTCATGTTTGTATGTATGTACAACAACAAACATTCAAATAAATATGTTTTGTGAAATTTTACAACTTTCTGTATTCGTTCATTCGAATCATAAACATGTCAATGGAATATAAATGTTGTAAAGGGTGATTTTTCAAGAGTTTTGTGAAAGTTTAAAAAAAAACACGTAAAATTCTGAAAAAATCATGAAATCTTTAGTTGAATCGATAGTACGGCCCGTATAATTTAATGGTTGAAGATTATTTCATGCATTTCCGTGACTGCGCTTCAAATTAGTCCAATTTTGGACATTAGATTTAACATCACCCCACCAAAATTGTTTAAATGCATTAAATCGCACGATCAAGGCGGCCAATTGACCGGTCTCGAACGAGAAATAAAAATTTCACCGAACTCACCTCTCAGTAAGTCCATTGTTACGCGTGCTGTGTGGCATGAAACCACATGTCATGCAAGTCGAGCTCTTGCATTTTGGGCAAAAAAAGTTTGATATCATCTCAGGATAGCGCTCACCAGTCACAGTTAAATTACGATTGGCATCATCTTTGAAGAAGTACGGTCCAATGATGTCACCAGCCCATAATCCGCACCAAACTGTGACTTTTTTGGATGCATTGATAGCTTTTGCAATGCTTCTGGCTGATCTTCACTCCAAAATCAACAATTCTGCTTATTTACGCACCCATTAAGCCAAAAATGAGCTTCGAAGCGCGCTCAATTTGATAATAAAATTCAATTATTTGATAGCGTTGTTCGTTTGTAAGACGACTCATGATTGAATTATAGACCAAACTGAAAATGTTTGACAGTGATACAAAACACGAGACGTGCGTCAGCTGCTTAAACCGGTTTTGCCAAAAAGATAATGACTAAAAAATCACCCTACATTATATATATAAAAAAAAATTGAATTAAAATTGAATGCAATTACTATACAGTTTACTCAAGACATGAAAGAAGATGCATTTAGAGCCAAATTTGAAAAAGCCTGAATTGTTGTGGTATCATAGCTGACGCTTACCAAGGTTCATTGGTGTGGATTTTTCACATGAAACGTTTTGGACTGATAAACTGAGAATGATATGAGAAAATACATTAAAAGTGGCTCAGTGACATGAATTGGGTTCGGCTACAAGAAATTGAGTCTTTCCTTTTGATACTTCAACATCACATGAGAGCAACAACAAATCTCACTTTCGACATTTTTACTATTACTGTTGAGTCTAAGCAGAAAATAGAATCTGGTTTTACCGTTTCAATGGCTTTCGATGCAACCGGATCAAAAGTATATAAAGATCCACCTAAAGAACTATTTCACCATTCACATATCTTGATGATTAACGTTTTATCGATTTTGTAATTCAGATTCGCAAAGTAATGTTCAAACAGGTGTGATTGTTCCCGCGTGTGCAATTTATTGAATTCCGTGCTATTTGCTGGGTCATTTGCTTAATCTACTTTTACAAAGACTTGCACGCGGAATGTGTATTAGGGTGTTCCAAATATTCAAAAGAAAAATTAGTTTTGGAGTATTTTGTTTTGAAAATATTTTATGAAATTAATGGATGTGCAAATTTATAAAATTATATAAACGGTAAAAGCACTTTTGATTGGTTAAATTTACATATTATAATTTGAATATACATGTATATGTATATAGCAAAAAAATTTTCTTTTGAGTAATTTAAGCCGTTACCCAAGAAGTGCAATAGACGGGACAAGTACGGAAGAAGGTGGGTCCTTGAAAAATATACTATAGTTGACCATTGCATCTATGCCACGACAGAAAAGAAGGACAATGTGACAAGGGATACCTTTAATAAGCCCCTGAAGTATACTCACCGCTACGCTGTGCTTGGCTACTTCAACGTCAGAGTGGGCGAAAAGAATATCTTTGGCGCAATTGTCGGAAAATTTAGCATCAACAACGAAGCATCCCCAAGTAGGTTGAGGTTCGATCGCGGGAGATCGAAACATGGTTGTCTTTAGTACTCGTTTTCAGCATAAACAAATTCATCAAGCTACTTGGCTGATGACAGACGGAAGACATGTTTCCAGTGTTCTTGGCGTTCGTCCACTTCGAGGACTTAAAATCGACTCGGACTACTATCTTGTAGCAGCAGAGATTAGAACCCGCCGCTATGCATTGCTCAACAACGCAGTATAAAAAACTGTGGGACGAAATTTCAAGTTCGCTGTGTACAACTGCAAATGAAACTCTTGGATTTCGTATAGGTGGCGAAAACAGCTAGTAAGCAGGCTGTCTACCTCGCAACGTTACGATCGAGCTCTACACGTGTGGATGGGATATATACTTAAAATTGAAGCAGTAAGCAAGACGCGTGGGTATAAAGAGCTTGAGAAGCTGGCCCTCCAGGGTGATGCCCGAAAATTCTACAAAAAGAGACGACTACTTAAGGAAGGTCTCAGGACCGGAGCAAACTCTTATAGGATCCATAGGGGTGATCTAGAGACAGTTGCCCAGAGTATACCGAATATATTAGGGGACACAATTTCTTACACAATTTTTTATTTGTATACTTTATCCAGGTTGTAGAATTTTTAAGTTTCTAACTTAACTATTTATTACGAAATTGATTAATATTTACCGACATGGTACTGCCATTCGCAAGGTTTCGCAAAGTTATAGAAAATTAATTTAAATAAAAAAATTAAGTTAAATTTTCTAAGTGCGGTCGCGCTTGGCAGGGAATGTCCACCCCGCCGATTGTATTTCGGACGTGATATAAAGGCTCCTCACAAAAAAACCATCAGTCGTTCGGAGGTGGCTTAGTATAAACTGTAGGTCCCTCCATTTGTTGGAAAAACATCAAGAGGCAAAACCACAAATCAGAAAAAAGCTCGGCCGAAGAATTGCTTCAGCGGTTTAAAAGCGCCAATTATATATATATATATATATATATATACTATATATGGTAGTTAGTGAAATGATCTCATTTCTCTTCATTCATTTTTTATTAGTTAAATTTCGCACGTTATTTTGATGATTTGTAGTTGTTTCTTTATAGTATTTTTATTTAGTTTTTGTCTCTAAAAAATGTGTGAAGCTCCCAACGGCGCTTGAGTTAGTTGAAAATAATTGAGAGTAGTTTTCTTAATGTCTGATAGTTAAGGTATGCACATTTATGTTAATCAAGAGCTTTCTATGCTGTTAATGAGAGCTGAATTCGGCAGTTGGCAAAAGTAAAACCCAGTCATACGCGACCAAATTCGGAAAATATATTTTGGTTAATGTGTGAATATTTTAGGCAAAATGCTCTGCCTGAAGTCAGATGTAGTGGAAAGGAATTCAATGCAAGATAAAATATGACCATGTACTTAAAGTTATATATAATCCTTCTTTATTGCTTAATTTTTTCGTCCACCATTATATTAATCTCAGCTGTAACAATGTTTATTTATGTGCTTAATGTAAATAGCAGTCGCTTAACTACCGTGTGATGTTTTCTAAAACATACTGTTTCTAATTTTAATTTAGGTATAAGAATATCTACATACGAGTATATAATGAGCATTTGAGGGCCACATTTGCAATATATCATATGAACGTGGTCAGAAAGCTTTTTTTTAAGAACAACCTGACTCCAATTGATTTTGCTAAAGCTGAAATGCATGAAACTACCAGGTGTCGCTGACACGAGCTGTACCAAGTGAAAAATGCAATGGCATTACCACTTTATGTCTTCGTATTTTGTACTTACATATTACTTCATAAGCATCTCCATTTGTATATTTTTTTTTGGACAAAATAACGATCTACATTTTTGTAAGTTTTTATTCGAAATATTTTTTCAGTTATTTTGAAGCAAAAATACACAATGTTTTTCATGATGAAATAAGAATATTCGTGTCCAATATTGAGTTTGACTGAATGGAAATGAGATGTCCATAAAAATTTACGCAGCTGTCGCAACTTAATGCAGTGACAAACACTACGGAAACGGAAATGAAAACAAAGTGACGGGAATTAAAATTGTTAAACTGCTAAAAAAGATGTTGCCAATGGCAGCGAATGTCTCAACAGCTGCACTTTTGAAAGACAGGAAGAGAGTTAAGTGAATTATCAGAAATTGAAGATGTTCCCCAGACAACTGAATATGCTGCCATGTGTTAAGAGCATTCATTTTAAATTTGTCTTTGTTGGTACAAGGCAAATAATTGCGCCCACTATACTGTAAGCAAATATCGGGCATGCCAAGAAGCCATGGAATAGTATTTATATCACTCACCGTCCATTGATTTAACCATGTCAATGAATTCACAGCTTTAAATTGAAAATGACGAAACTAAAACCTTTATACAAATGTGGGTCGTAAAAACACACAGAAGCCGTAGCATTACTCTGAAGCGATTATTTGTTTGTATACTACGTTTTTATATTCTTTATAAAAT